TCAACACTGAGTATTGAAATCTTCAAATCTACACAGTCTCGGACTTTGATTACAGTACAGTGTTCCCCTTGTTTAAAGAGCAAGAGAAAGCTCTTGCTACTTTATCTGCCATTTTGAAGGTCCATCCTAGAGCTCTGGAAGAACATCTGATGCTCTGAGAAGAAGGCATTTATAAAGTGGATTTTGGTCTTTGCCTTAAAAACAGCTGTTTCCAGTGTCCCACTTTTTTTCCAACATTGTTTTGCTCTGTGCTTAAAATTCCCCTCTTCTGGGTTTTCATCTAGATAATTCTATTTACATCATCTTCACTACAAAGAAAACACAATATTTTTTTTCTTTACTCTTTATTCAAAGTGTATACAGTGGAAAAAACCTCACACTGTTTAATATCTTTCTGAATGACCCAATTTAAATTCATTCCTGTCAGATCATACTTTCTCCCCACGTTTCAGACATCAAAGGAACCTGCTTCTATTTATTAATTCTCCTCCAATGTACACCTTAAACTCTTACTCTTCATGTATTCCTTCTGAGCTCTTCATCCAGCTCAATCACCTTTGTCTTCTGTGGCTCTTCAGGCAACACGCACCCCTCTCACCTTTTTCTTACTTGTGGTAAAGTTTCAGCGCTGGTTTTACACTTCACACGTGAAAAAATTTCATCTTTCCTTCATCTCCTTAGTTTATTTCACTTTCCTTAGACTACAAAAGATTATTTAAGTGTTCTATTTCCAGAACCATTTTCTTCTTTTGTTCAGCTTAAATCAAGCTCACAGGACCAATGTCACTTCTGTGCTTTTAAGACAATATGATTTAGAACATAACTATTTATCCCAATCTTGATTTCCTGACTTACTGGAGGAGCAGGGTGATATATATAGAACCAATTAGTTGTAATATCCAGGAAAATCTATGCTCTTTTATCAGACAAAGTGGCATTTGGCTCCTCCTATTTCCACTTAAGTACCTGATGATTGGCATCAGAATGTATTTTCAAGAACAGGCTACCTAACAGTACTTCTAAGACCTTTGCTCACACTTGAGCCAGAGACAGGAAGAATATTAAAAATTCACAGACCTATAATAGAAAAACGAAAGGTAAGACAAAGTGTTTTTCACTTGAGTGATTCTTTTTTTAGGCACCTTCCTTTTTCTCTGTAGCACTGTTATGACCAGTACTACCCTGTAAATGTTCCCTTCATTTCTATCCCTCTAGTACAATGCATATTTTGCAGTAGTACTGTTCCAGTTGTGAATGCTTTCTGCCTACCTCGGCCATATTTCCATTTTTGTTGCAATTTCCAGATCCATATCCTGCAACAGTAGTTCAAGTCCCTCAGCTCTCTTGCTCAGGCTGCTATTGCTGTTTATACAGTTTATACAACACACCTGGTTGTGTGTGTATATTGTATTAGGCAGAATTTTTTCACTAAGCTATTACTCTTTACGTCACTTATCCATCATAACACCTTTCTCCTCACCGATAATCCATTACAGAGCATTGTTGCATTTCCTTTTACTCAAATACACCTGGAGGGGAAGATTCCCTTTGTCTTCTTCACCTCTCAGTTTAATACTTCTCAACTACAGCAGCATCTTGCCAAAAGGAGTGTTTTCTCTGGCATTATTCTAACTTTGAGAGGGTTTTCCCCCCACCACCTTTCCTTCCCCTCCCCTCACTCCCCCTTCAGTGACAAACTGCAGGCCATCAAATGAACATCGCTACTAATCACCCATACTTCAGCAATGTTGCTGTTTAAGACCCGTGGGCTGCTAAGCACCACACAGACGCTCAGTTACTCCCTCCCAGCGGGATGGTGGGTGGAATCAAAACTGTACAAGCGAGAGAACTTCAGATAAAGATGGATTAATAAGTAAAGCAAAAGCCAGACACTCAAAGCAAAACAAAGAATTCATTCACTGCTTCCTGTGAGCAGGCAGGTGTTCAGCTGCCCCCAGGACAGCAGGGCTCTCTCCCGTGAAATGGTTACTTGGGAAGACAAACACCGTCACTCAGAGTTCACCCCTTCTTCTTCTTCCCCCAGCTTTATATGCTGACCATGACAGCAAATAATGTGGGATATCCCTTAGGTCAGTTGAGGACAGCTGTCTCAGATGTTTCCCCTCCCAAATTCTTGTGCTTCCCCTCCCTCCTCCCTTCCCAGCATCGTTGCTGAGGTGGGGCAAGAAGAAAAGGTCTTGGCTCTGTGAAAGCACTGTTCAGCAATGCCTGAAACACCTCTATATTATCAACACTGTTTCCAGCACAAATCCAAACACAGCTCCACAACAGCTACTATGAAGAAATTAACTCTCTTCCAGCCAAAACCAGTACAAGAAGGGACTTGAACTACTTCAGGTAAGACTGCCCACATCTCCCACAACTTAACACTGATATCCTTGACAGGTCCCACGAGGAATCTGTCGTTATCTTTGACACCGAGCCAAAGCATGTAAAGTGATTCATATTATCTTTGACCATGACTGAAAATTAATCTGGAAGTTATTTCTTCTTTGCTATCAAGAATCTTATCAATCTCAGTTTTGTTTATACTTTCAACACTGGTGCCCAGCCAGTAGTTCATAATCTGTTCTAATTACAGGACCATCAACTTGAGTCTTGAGATACACTCGCAGTTCAACTTCAGTCATTTCCTTTCCAGTCTGCTTTCTTTGAAGACCTGTATCTCCATCCTGCACGGTGTTCAGTGCACTACCATCCCTCCGGGAGAAATCCCAAGCTATTTCCAATGACTTCTCTCCATAGTACCCAGTGCACAGGGTAAGTAACACAGGCCTACAAACAAACGGCATTTGTCAGCTCAGAGTGGGCCCTGAATCCTGCAAGGTTCTTCACACAGATTACAAAAAACCATAAGCAGCACAAGTTCTTTGTGTGAAAGGGGCCACAACAAGCTGGTTTATATCGTGTTCATTTTGGTATTCTTTTGGAAACAGGTATTGTTTCTGCTTCTACGCGTGGAGAAAAAAGAGGCACAAAAAAATAAAGGACTGATCCACAGAGTGCAGCCTGCTGCAACTGCACGCCAGCACCCAAATAGCGAACTTTTGGCAAAATACACATTGCCAGAAGCATCTCACAGTTCGTCTGCACGCTACAATCAACCCTCACACGGCTTTGCACGTTCTCTAAATGCAATCACGCTAAAATGTGCAGGTTAACACACAGCTGAGGTTTCTTCCATGTTGCCACTGCTAAGAAAGACACCGAGCTTAGCCTGAAATAAAGGCCACGGCGCAGGCGAGCCCACCCCGCGTACCCGTATCATTTCCACGTACCTGTATCATTTCCACCATCTCCGGGGTGATGATGTCTTTCTCTACCATGTGCTCCACCAGCTCCTGCAACACAAGCTGCTTCGCCAGGATCACCCGATTCCTCTTGAGCGCTTCCTGGTGACACCGCTGCATTCCGCACGCCACCAGCATCCTGGGAGAAGAGGGGAGACCCGGGCAGCGGCAAAGACCCCCCTCCCGATTGTTGTCTCGGGAGGGATCCCACTGGCGCTCACAACAGACGGAAAGAGGCCCTTCCCGCCCGCCTTTTCCCGGCGGCACCCGCGATTCAAAGCGCGAGACCCGTTTTCCCGCCGTCACGTGACCTCCCACGGCGCGGGAGCGGTTTCCCGCCGCCTGCTGCCCGCGCGCGGGCTGGGCGCGGCCCCTCAGGGACGGGGGAATCGCGGCAGGGGGGGTTACAGTGCGGCACGGCAGGGGTCCTGCCCTGTTGGGGGGGTATTAACAAGTGCCGCTTTCCTTGCGAATATACCGCTTCTGGGGTTTTGGTTTTTTGGTTTGGGGTTTTTTTTTTTTTTCCAGTTTTTAGAGGTTTTGTTTCCTGTGTTTTGTTACACATGAGTTTCAGTGGAAATCAGCTGAAATCAGAGAAGATAACGCACAGTAATTTGAGAGGGAGCACGCAGGATTTGCGGAGAACGTGAAATACGAAGGGAAAGATTCTAAGTGACCATCCTTCTAGCATAAGCAAATCCGCAGCACTTGTCACATTATCATAGGGTCATTGCGATTGGAAAAGACCTCTGACATCATCGAGTCCAACCTTTAAAAATCACCTTGTCAAAACTAGACCATAGCACTGAGTGCCACATCCACCTCCAGGGACAGTGACTCCACCACCTCCCTGGAGAGCCAGTTTCAGTGCTTGACAATCCTTTTGTGAAGAAACTCCTCCCCTTGTCTAACTTGAATCTCTGCTGGCACAGCTTAAGACTGTGTCCTCTCGTCCTGTCGCTAGTTGCCTGGGACAATAGGACATAATCCCCCCCCAGTCTGGCTACAGCCTCCTTTCAAGTAGTTGTAGAGAGTCATAAGGCCACCCCTGAGACTCCTTTTCTCCAGGCTAAACAACCCCAGCTCCCACAGCTGTTCCTCATAGGACTTACAAAAACCTCATGTAAAGCTTCAGATGGTTGCTTCCCTGGTGTACAGGAGTTCCACATGCTAAAGCTTAACACAAGTCCAAAGGCTTGAAAACCCTTACAGATGTTGAAGACAAAATCCAAGTGGTCATAACTTGTGGCATTTTTGGTCTTTGTTTTGGCCAATTTTTAATCTGTGGTGGTTACCTCAATTTCTTCCTCACTCCTGGCAGTTTGATGCACTCAGAGTTGCCCAGTTTAAGACTCAAAGTTCCTGTGCCTATGTTGTCTACCCATATCACTTTTTAGTGAGGTTTGTTCTTTTCTGTTTGGAGATAGAGGAGGGAAATGCAAGTAGCGATTGGCTTTAAAGAAATCACATTGCTTCTACCAGCGTATTTGTCTCTCACAATACTTCTATGATAGAGGCATCATACCTGCTTCATCACCAATGATATTAAAGTGAGGTAGCTGTACATTCAGAAATGGAATACGTCTCCTTTTTCTAAGCCAAGATTATCAAATAAGTAGAATGTGAGCCAAAGGCACGGCTTTGTGGAGTGGTCATTTTGGGAGGAAATATAAATTATGCCACCAGGAATTTTTAATGCAGTCCTGTTTATTTATAAATGACATAGAGAGTCTTTTTTTTTTCCCTTTGAACTATAAAGAATCAAAATATAAGAAATAATTTGTTTGCTTCTAGCTGTGGTTTGATGGTTCCTCATAGGAATTCAAGATGATGCAGTCACACGAGCAAGGCTGTGATGATTGCTGCTCTCCTTCATGACAATATTCAGACCACCATTTTTATTTTCATTTTTTCATTTGGACATTCACCAGACATGAATGTCTCTTTGGATACTGTTGACCACTTTGACACTGCAGAGGTTATCAGTTTAACTCACCCATTTTAAGAGATTGCACAGCATCACTGATCAGTGAGAGCTAAAACCTGGCTCCAGCCTAGAGCCATCATGATGAAGACTACTTATGCCTTGGGACTATTATTCTCAGGTGCTCTCTGCTACAGCTCTGGCCTCGGCAGACAGACTGGACCTTTCCAGAGTCCAGAGAGAAGCCGCTGAGTACAGTGAACTCAGTTATAGAGAACTGCAGGAGCTCTGGCCTTTCTGTGCAAGTCCTTGCCACGATGACAATAAAGTATCTCAAGCCATCTGTTAGGGGCTGTAGTACAGCAGAGACACACACCCTGCTGTAGAGCCACCAAGACTACTGATCTAGGCAGAGGATGCTTATCTGTGTATGTATCCTACTGCTGGTCTCTCTTACAGGAGGAAAACTTATCCCCCTCTTGTACACCACTGGCTGTGTGGGGTGAGAACCTTGTGAAGAAGAGAAGTCATTTCATGGTGCCATGCTTGCCTTCAGCTTTTCAACCTTAAGTGACACCTATGGGGTGGTACCAGCTTCCAGATGCAGACAGCCACCCTCCCCTCAGTCATGCTCCAGTGCAGCTCAGCTGAGGATGTGGCGCAGGTGTGGCAGAGGGGCAGCAACAAACAGCGCAGACCATACATTTTTTGTTGCTGCAAAACAGCAACTCAGGGAAGTGCAGGCTTGGTCTCTCTGTAGGGATTTCAGGGTGGCTGATGACCACACAGCTCTCAGCAATATTGCTGTTTGTAATGCACAGGCAGAACATGCTTAGTGCTGTTTCTATTCTTCCCCTTGCTCAGGCAGATTCTTTTGGCTGCATCTTACAGTCCTTCTTCAGAGGTCCTTTGATAACCTTGTCTCTTCTCATGATTTACTCTTTTCCCCCATAAAGGTGTATCTTCAGTTTGAGAATGTTGCCATGTATAACACAGCTTTCCTCACAGTTGCTTTATGTATCTGCCAAGTCAAAGCATTGTGGTATTGCATTGATTTTTATTTTGTGCAAAAAGATTCTAGTGACATCAGAAGCTGTGTCTGTCGTTCAACTCTGTTTCAAAGAATGGTGAGACAAACTTTTACAGTTTCAGGCATGAAAAATCTCAACCCTTTCACCTTCTTTCTAGGATCATTCTGTATTAGGGTGAGGCTTTGGTTCTGTATTCATGGAAGGTGAAATTAATCCTAATGCAGACGGCGGGCAAGTATCTTCAAAGACCTCATCACTGATGGCACTCTCATAAGCAGGTGGTGGAGTGAGTGGTTCTAGTGGTTCAAACCTGTCTTCAATATCTCTGTCCTCATGGATGTCCGAAACAAACCGCTGCGGTCTTGGGGGCAACACTAGCTGCAGCTGTATCCTGGAGCCTGTGTCTGTCTCAGAGGTGGGCCTTGTGTCTGGTGGCACTGACACTCGGAGAGCCTCCACCGTAATCTCTTGTTGGCTAGAGGATTCGATAACGACACTGTAAGGAGGAGGGTCGCTCAGCGGCGAGGGCACTGGGCCTGGGTTGGATGTAATCGTCCATATTGCCGGAGCTGACATGGTCATCACCTCCTCATAGGTGGGCGCTTCATAGGCAGCATTCACCCTTGTGCAAGAGAGGAAGGCCAGTTACATCGGTTATTTTACTGCTTAGTTTGTGCAGAGACAGACAGCAAAGATTATATAGTACAGGGACTGTGCTACAATCAACAAATAGATGGACTGAGACAGGGTATCTCACGTGGTATTGCTTTATGGGGTATTCTGTCCCTAGATCAGTTCACTTGTCCAGCCAACTTAATGTCTTGCTTACTGGAATAGAGAATGGCTCATCTGACCATTTTCCCACACTCTCCAGAATAAGTGAAGTGACCCACACTGTTCAGTGTAGTGTCCTAGGCTTAGCTTGATGTCCCTCAGTTAAAATCTCCTACCAGTTAAAATTTATTACTAAGAATTATTAACTACTACTGATTATTTCTTGGAATAAAACCTTGCTTTTTTAATACATTAGCTCAGTGTTCATCTCTTTTTAAGAACTGGAAAAAATTAATATTTTCACTTCATTTAAACAAGGACTAATTGTTCTGTGTTGAGAAGAATTATCTGCAAAGAAAAAATGCTACTTGAGGAACATTTTCCTTTTCAGATCATATTTTTAAATATAAGGATACTAATTTTCTTCTAGTATGCCCCCAAGCTAGCAGAGCCCAATATAGACTTCTTTTTATGTAGACTTTCTAAAAATAAACACATAGTAACATTTTTTCCCCTCCCACAGGCCCTGTATTTGAGAGTGTTAAGTCATTTATGGATGTGGAAAATGATCACCTGGATTATACAAGGAAGCAAAGATAAAAATAAAGTCAAACTTGCCAACTATAGTAGGCAAAAGGGTTAAATCAGGTGATACTGAGAACCTGCAAATGTACATGAAGCCAAAAAGTATTCAGAGCCTCTCAAAATCAGGATTTATTAGTGTCAAATTGGGATTTTATGACTGGAAACAGACTCAGTTACAGGTTTCTTTTAAAAAGTTCGCCAAGGAACAGTTGCTCTAGAGATAAGTTTTATAGAACTAAACCCAAATAAGATTCAGTATTGCTTCAGCGTTTTTTCCTTTTCCTTGTCTGAGTCATTGTTTGGCAAGCCTCGATTACTCAAAGTAAAATAAAACTGGGCCTGGATCTGTTTAACCTTGGAAATTTTTAGTGAATCAGTTTCCGGGGGGAAGAAAACACATAGTGTACAAGATGCAGGAGATGCGTGGCATAGATATTTGCAACCTCTACCTGAAGAATGAAGGAAAACAACCTGAAAATAACTTTTGTCTTTGGGAATGGAGTCTGTGTTTGTTGCCTCAGAGGAAGGGCAGCAAAACAGTATGTAAAATGTCCATGACTGAGGTGAGAGGATTAAAGAGCAATAACCAGGTTGCTGCTTACCCTGCTTGACTTCGACTGTTTGGAGGTATTTCATTTGCATCATGTCGGTGTTGATTCCTCAGGTAACACTCAACAAACACACTCAGCAAATAGCCGACCAGGCACACTCCCCCTACCCCTAGAAAGAAATAGCCTACTGGGTTGATGTTAGATGAAATGGCCAGCATGGTGACCCCAATGAGAAGAGCAGCAGTGAAAAGAAGCAGCAAGGTTTGACGGATGTTCTTCCAGCGTGTCTCTAACAACATGGTAGTATAGATGGTGGTAGCAGGTAGTTGAGAACAGATGAGCAGTTAAAGGGACAGACATCTGTGGAAGATGGAACAGTTTTTTTAACATGAAACATGAGAATATAAATACATTATAAGTATCATGACCAAAGTAAGAACATACATACTAGTGCAAAAGACACGAGAACATGAACTACGCACATATATAATAAGTCTGGGAAATCCACATAAATGCACACCAATGTAAATGTACTACAATTTCCTGTGTGAATGCATATTGAATAATGGGAACAGCTTGGACACACAGTTGGAAGACATGAAATGCATAAATAGACCCTAAGCACTTATTGCCAGGCATATCTAAAAAGATCTGGTTTAATAGAGCAGTCTGGGATGCAGATTTGAGGTTACTATGGAAGTGAAATACAGAATAACTTTAAGGGTTAATTCTAGGACATTTGTACATTGCATAATGAACATTCAAATACTCGTTCAGAACCCGGAAGAAAAGCAGCCTTATTTAATGGGCCTGTCAGCCCCAGCAAACTGAGCATCTAACTTCAGTGTAGCATTATAGCAATAACGTTACTTTAGGTTCTGGATACAGCTAGGGTATGTGTGCTTTTGTGAAGTGCAGGCACAGTTTGAATATTTGCCTATATCCTCAGTTCTTTTTCTGTTGATGTGCTTATTTTTGCACCAGTCTCAAACATGAGAGCCCTTTCTGTCCTGCATTCCAAACCCCATCTCAGTGAAAGACACTGCAGTTTCACTATGTAGAGTCAATATGGAATGAATACCAGGGATCTGTGGTATTCAAGAATACCATAATTAAGGAGTTGTCTTGCATGTATTGTGCTAACCTACATACATCCCACTCTTTTGATGAAGACCCCTTTGAAGGAAAAAAGCATGACACAAGGGGCATATTTTTTATGAATATGTATCTCCAAACAAATATACAGTTTTATATAGTTCCATGTTACATTGTGTGCTTCTGCACACTGAATGTGTCCCCTTGTTAGAGCAAAAATAGTTAAATGCATACATGCAAAAGAAACACATTCTTTTTTGGCTTATACTTACCAGAAAGAGGTCTCGGTAGGTACGAGCAGTCATGGTTTAACTTCTCTCTTCATCACAAGGAAAAATGTGCACTGCTGCTTCCCGTTCTGACCCAAGAATAGGACACCAGTTACAACTCTCCCTTCCTCCTTTAGAGCTTCTTGTAGGGAAACAATGAAGATTTCTTTTGAAAATAAAAGTTGGAAACTACCGAAAATGGGAAGGTACCAAACGATGAGAAGATCCCATTGTAAGAATTCTTAATGGGAAAGTAGAATCTCCTTTTTCCAGGTTCTGAATCCAAAGTAATTTCCAGACGATCACACACCTTCTACTCTTTCGCAGCTCTTCTCGGTCTGTCCCACAAAAGCAGGAAACTCATTAGGAAAGAAGGCGGAGTGAGCAGTGGGGGAGTGCTTACCTGTGTCGTGTCTGTTTGGTCTGCTTTACTTTAATGAGAGAAACTGCCCTGAAAATTCTGTGGTTTTTTTTTTTCCTGAGTAGCAAAGGAATCTTGAACTCTGCCTCACAAAGCAGGAACAACTGCCTGCCCAGCCCACATCACATGGCCCACACATAAATCTATTTATGAGTTCTGTAAAAGGTAGAACTATAAATTTTTCTATCCTGATCAACTGCTGTTTGTCAAATGTTGTTTTATGTCCTCTTTGATTTTACAAACAAAGGGGGAAAAAAGGGGCTAATGGGTTATTATTTCACAGAGGGCTGAGTTAGAAACCTTTTTACTCCCTGATGTATCTGGGAATGAGGGGTACTGATAAGCAAGAGAACAGGTACTACTGAATTACTTCTCTTATCTGAGCTGTTAGTGTATGTCTGAAAATTAGAATAGCATAGCATAGCATAGCATAGCATAGAATAGAATAGAATAGAATAGAATAGGAGTATTTCAGTTGAAAGGGACCTACAACAATCATCAAGCCCAACTAACTCCCTAACTGCTTCAGGGCTGACCAAAGTTAAAGCCAGTTATTAATGGTATTGTCCAAATACCTCTTAAACACAGACAGGCTTGGGGCATTGACCCCCTTTGTAGGAAGCCTGTTCCAGTGTCTGGCCACTCTCTTGGTAAAGAAATGTTTCCTAATGTCCCCTGACGCAGCTTTGAACCATTCCCACATGCCCATTCACTAGATTCCAGGAAGATGAGATCAGCGCCTCCCTCTACTCTTCCTCTCCTCGGGAAGCTACAGAGAGCAAGGGGGTTTCCCCTCAGCCTCCCTTTCTCCAAACCAGACAAGCCCAAAGTCCTCAGGTGCTCCTCACAACACGTGCCTTCCACCAGCTTTCTTGCACTCCTCTGGGAGCATTCAAGGATGTTCACATCCTTCTGAAATGGTGGGGCCCAGAACTGCACCCAGCACTCCTTGTGAGGCCACACCAACGCTGAGCCCAGTGGGATGTTCCCCTCCCTCTGACTGGCTGGTGATGCTGTGTTTGATGCTCCCCAGGACGTGGTTTGCCCTCTGGGCTGCCCAGGCACACACTGCTGACTCACACTGAGCTGCTGCCCATCAGCACCCCCAGGGTGACAGTACTAATATACTTAATAAAATTCAGAAAATTTACATCCACTGCCTTCCCTTCATCCACTAGACAGGTGTTGTTATAGTAAAAGGATATCAGATTGATTAAACAGGACTTTCTTCCCTTTGTGAAACCCTTTTGACTGTGACTGATGATTGCATTGTTCTTGAAGTGCCCTTCAGTAGCACCCAGTATGATCTGCTCCTTAATTTTTCCAGGTAATGAGGTTAGACTAACATGTCTGTAGTTCCCCAGATCTTCCCTCACACCTCTCTTGTGGATTGGAATAACACTTGCTAGCTTCCAGTCAGAAGGGACCTACCCAGACTCCCAAGACCTTTGGTAGATGATCAAGAAAGGTTCTACCATGATATCCCCTAGCTCCTTCATATCTCTGGGGTTAAACCAATCAGGCCCCATGGACTTGTGAACATTCAACTGATACAGCTGTTACCTTACCATTTCGGTGTTCACAAATTGAAAGTTACTGTTCCCACACTCATGGTCCTCCAACTCAGGGGACTGGGCAGCCCAAGGTCTACCATTATTATTAAAGACTTGGCAAAAATCACCTTAAATGCCTCTGCTTTTTCTTTGTGCCTACTAGTCAGGTGGTCATCTTCAACAAGTATCACTGAAAATTTTAAACTCAACCATTTCATGATCACTGTGGCCAAGACAGCCTCCTACCATCACATCTCCCATAAGTCTTTCTTTATTCACAAATAGCAAGTCTAGGAGGGCATCTTCCTTAGGTGTATTACTATCTGTGACAAGAAGTTATCTCTCACAAACTTCAGGAATTTCCTTGATCTTCTCATCTCAGCAATTTGTTATTCCAGGTTGATACCTGGGAAGTTGAAATATTCCATAAGGACAAGGGCTACTCATCCAGAGATTTCTCCAGACTGCCTATAGAATAACTCAGCAGTGCTTATTTCATTGGAAGTTCTCAAACACTATAGCATGAATTACCTCCAGGGGCTGGCTGCAGCCCATGTGTGTCTGGAATAGGAAGATACTCTACTGCTAGATGTTTATAATAGTATTTAGTTTGGAAGATTGGGCCAACAAGAATTCCATAAGGTTTATCAAAAATAAATGTAAAGTCATGCCGGGATGGAATAATTCTAAGCAGCAGTACCGGCTGGGGTCTGATTGACTAGGATGCAGCTCTGCTGAAACAGCCCTGATGGACATGACAAACAGGAAGCTCAACAGGAGTCAGCAGTGTGTCCTTGAAGCAATGAAGGCAAACTGTGTCCTGGGCTGCACCAGTAAGAGTGTAGTAAACAGATCGAGGGGTGGGATTGTTCTATGCAGCACTTGTTAGGACACACCTGTAATACTGTGTACAGTTCTGGTCCCCCCAGTTTGGTTATGGTCTGAAAAACTGGATATGGTCTGGCGAATTGCCACCAAGATGATTTGAGGGTTGGAGACTTTTGACAACTTAAGAGGCTGGATTTGTATAGCCTAAAGGAAAGAAGGCTTGGGCAGGTAGTGAGTGTCTACAGGTTTCCAATAGTAGTAGGTAGTTACAGAGTAGTAAGTAGTTATAGTAGTTACTACAGAGTAATAACTAGTTAGAGAGAGGAGAGAGGTATTCTTCATGAGGGTACATGGTGACATGACAAGAGGCTTTAGCAAAAAGGGTGTCTGTGGATATAAGGAAACAAAGTCTTTGACCTGAAAACAGCAAAATGCAATTACTTGCTCACAGAAGTGGAGAAATCCCCTTGGCTGGAAATATTCAAGACACAGCTGAGTCTAAGGCCCAGCTTTGAATAAGAGGTTGGACCAGATCATCTGCCCTTCCAGCCTAGACTTGTCAATGTTTTCATGTTTTGAATATTTTCTCCTCATAATTGCCTTTTTTTGCCGGCTGACAGATAAAGGACCTTTAGTTCTGATTGTTATCCATTCTTTGCTTTCAAGAGAATTCCTTGAAAATGGCAGACTTAATACCCACATAAAGGGGAGGAAGTCAGGATTCTGCTGTGTAGCATGTCATTTTGCAAGACTATCATTTAAATTGAAACAATAATTTCCATTTCAGAGTTGCCTGATGTTGAGAACATCTTGCCTTTGACAAAACTGTTTTCACAGCCTCTTGTCACAGGAATAAGGACTGACCCATGGTGGAATCTGCACGTGTCGGTACTAACATCAACTTCCTTCTAACCAGTGTAGCTGGTGGTTGTTAGAACCATTCCTTAGAGATAAAAAATTTATATCTGACTGATTTGAGGAGGCAATTAAAATTATTCTTCCTGCATGCCCTCCTGTCCTTGCCTTGATTCAGTGCTCAGCTGATCTCTTTCTGAGCCAGCCCAGCCAACTCAGCTACTGGGAAAGTATTTACATTTTTCCAGAGTGAATGTAGTGGTCTGAATCTAGTACCCAAAGTATCATCCAACCACTAGTTCTGCATTAAAGGGAAGCAATGGGAATGTGTAGCTAGAGGGATAGAGGGAAAGGGAGGAAGAGTGGATAATTTCCAGAGCTGCAGTGGCTGTCATTTGACCAGGTCAGCCCAAACCATTCGAGCAGAAAGAAATTCTTCCTTCTTTGGTGGATTAAGTCCCACAGAAAGGTGTAGAATCTAAGACCCACCTTGTACTTAGCAAATCCTGTTAGTTAAATCAGGGATTTCCAGCTCAGCCTGATGACTTTAGGGAACTCCCAGCTCTGGTACATTCACTGACTACTGCTGAACCCCCCCAACAATCTGACCATTGTTGAATCCTCCTTGTAAGTACCTACAGAAGGTACTTATGCTTTTTTATGCTGTGTGGAGGGAGCTGAGGCACTTGTCTGCACATTTTCCTGTGGGTAGTAGGCTTTGGGTCTCGATATTTTTTCTAAGTTAGGAGAAAGTCAGAAAGGTGAAAACATTCTTGGGGCACCATTTTGAAAAATGTTAGTAGACATAGGCATGAAATATCAGGATGAAAAAGGCTAGAAATTATAGGTGTCTCTGCTGCATTAATTGTTGCTTGTATTATTTCAGTTTATTTCTGTAGAGGTCCAGAGTTCAGTCACTCCTGTAGATTTTACCCATGGAGTTCATGAATGATTGTGCTGAATCTTTAGGAATTATTTTTATTCATTTACCTGAATGCATAAAGCAATGATACTCTACAATGCAGCTGTGAATGCATTAGTTGAATATGTTTATGGATTTTATACGGAGTGCTTTGTGGGTCTAAGGATAAAAAGGAGGATAAATTACTATGAACTAATCTTTCCAATATGTTTTCTAGCAACACAGTTCTACATGAGACCTTTTGGCATTTCTGAAAGACTTCTGAAATTTTAATCTGTCTGTTGTTTTGATTCTCTCCATGGACTGGTTCAGACTGTCATTGGTTACAGTGTATGGGAATCCATAAAAAAGAAAAAAATGATCACACAGATGAGTCAAGAAGTCTTTGGTGATGAAAAGATTCAGAAAATGCAG